ATACAGAGAAAACCTTTAGGTTGAACTCAAGGAGGCAGCTTTAGGAGAAACAACTCCAGGTTGGATACAGTGTGCAGAAGCCACTATACTACCAACATCTGTTAAATATAATGTAAGAATCAAACTTTTCAGAACCATCATAGAACGCCTACCAGTAAGCTCAAATCAGTGGGGCTGGGTGCAGTGGCTTATTCCTGTAATCCCAGCACTTTGGGAGGCTGAGGTGGGCAGATCACTTGAGGCCAGGAGTTTCAGACCAGCCCAGCCAACATGGCAAAACCGTCTCTACTGAAGATACAAAAATTAGCCGAATATAGTGGTGTGCTTCCAGCTACTTGGGAGGCTGAGGCCTGAGAATTGCTTGATGCTGGGAGGTAGAGGTTAGTGAGCTGAGATCGCCCCACTACATTCCAGCCTAAGCAACAAAGCGAGACCATCTCATATTGGTGTACAATGTAACTATAGTTCTCATGTTACACATTAGACCTCCAGACTTACTCTCCATGACTGCAATTTTATACCCTTTGACCTACATCTTCTCACCTCCCCTATTCTCTGTAAGCACTGTTTCAATGTTTCTATGTGTTGAATTTTTCATTTCCTTAGATTTCACAATAAGTAAGATTATGAGTTGTCTTTCTGTGCCAGGTTTATTTCACTTAACGTCGTCGATGTTCTTCCATGTCACAAATTAAAGGATTGCTTCTAAGGCTGAATGATACTGTAATGAACATTAGAGTATAGGCACCATTACAAGGTGGTGACTTCACTTCCTTCGGGTGCAGGTGGCTCTTCTTTTGAGGAGCCTCCCTATCGTTCACCGTAACACTTGAACCAATCTAATTCCCACCAACAGCAGACAAGAGTTTCTTCCCTTCTCTACATGCTTGCCAACACCTTGTTTCCTGTCCTCAAAGTCATCCTGACATGAGATGCTTCATTATGGTTTTGACTTACATTTTTGACCAACGATGTGGAGCACCTCCTATATCTGGCCACTTGTCATCTCTGGAGAAACATCTATTGAGGTCCTACCGACTTTTAAAACTGGGTTATTTTATTGATATGTGAATTGACTAAACCTTAACACCTTGGTATTATGGTTTGTGCCATATGTTTGCAAACCATACATATGGTGAACTTGACTGTGAGCATATGGTTTGCAAATACTCTGGCAAATCCATAGTCTGCCTTTTCATTTTGTTTCCTTTGCTGTGTAGAAGCTCTTCAGTTTGCAGTCTCGCTTAAATTTGCTTTTCTTGCCTATACTTTTTGGTATCCTATGGAAGAAATAATTTCCAAGACCAATGTCAAACTTTTACGTGTTTTCTTGCAGAAGTATTAGTTGCAAGACTTGAATTTAGGGCTGCAATCCATAAGTCACTTGTATATGATAGAAAGGTTCAATTTTTTGACGTGTAGAAATCATTTTCCTAAAGCCACTTATTTGAAACATCTAACCTTTTCCTTTGATGTCATCTTGGTACCGCTGAACTAGTTGGCTACATATGCTTGAGCTTCTTTTTGGACTTTCTGTCTTCTTGGCCTATTGGTATGTTTTTATATGAGTATCTCACTGTTAAGATAACTAACTTGGCAGTAGACTATGACCAGGCAGTGTAATGTCTCCAGGTTTGGTCTAGCAGAAGTTCCTTTTGGCTAGCCTGTGAATTTTAAGACTCTTCTTCCCTATTTCTATGAAAAAGTTGTACATCTATAGGTTGCTTTGGGTAGTACGGACATTTTAATGTGTTTTATGAGCTTAGGATATTATCCCATTTGTCTCAAGTGTCAAAAGATCTTGATTCGTACAGAAAGTAAGTACTATCTCTCCAGTTAACTTACTCCTAAGTCTTTTGATTAAGTGGGATTGTTCTTTTTGGGGTAGTGTAGTGTATAGAAATGTTACATTCATGTATGTTTGTATCCTGCAACATGACTGAACTTCTTAGTTCTAACTGTGGTACTTCAGGGTTTTCTACATGATGTCTGCAAGCAATGGCAGCAATAGTTTGCCTGATTTGGATGCCTTTGGTCCTTCTTGCCTACTTGCTGTAGCCAGGTCTTCCACCACTGCATTGAATGAAGTAGTGAAGCAACTCTCTTGTTGCTGATCCTAGAGGAAGGGTTCAGCTTTCTACTGTTGAGTATGATATTTGTTGTGGGCTTGCAATATATGGCCTTTTTCTTGTGTTCAGGAACACTTCTATACCTCATTCACTTTTTTCCTTTAATAGATGCTGAACTGTAAAATGCCTTTTCTGCATCTGATGATTGAGGCTTGTAGGTCAATATAAGCCTAAATGGTTTGGACCACATGAAAGATTTTCTCTGCCTTGGTCAAAGGCAGCCTGAGGCTTCAAGATCTCTTGTCCTAAGGCCATTCCATCTTTACCCTCTGCACTCTGCCACTCTGAAAATCCTATACAAGGAAGAAGAACCAAGCCAAACTTGTCTATCACCCAGAGCCAGGCTTTTCTAGGTACCTGTTGCAGGTCCCTCGGGGAGATGTGTCTCCTCAGTCAGGAGCAGTCCTGTCCCAGTCTGCTCACACATAAGGAGATCAAAAGTGGCTCTACCCAAGGTGGTGGGTTGGAATTTTAGCTTGCTTTTGCTTGCCTGATGTATCATCACCTTTGACCATGAGCTTTTAGAAGAGTCGACAAGAGCTGCCTGGAACAGGTGCTGTTATAAACACAGAGGCCATGGAGAAGCAACGTGAGCTGTGCAGAGGTATACCAAAGCGATACATTAGAGCATGGATCTCGTAGGTACAGCCTTTATTAGTAGTAGCAGTCTGAAACAGCTGAATCAGTTATTTAGTTTATGATGGGCCCTGGAGTTCTAGGAACTGCCTGTTACTGCAATGTGGAAAAACCAACTCCTGGCCTAAATGCCAAGTGGTGTCCTGCCCCTGTCTTGAGCGGCACCTCCATTATGCCTTGACTTCAGAAGAAAACTTTTATGCCCTTCAATAGCAGATGTGAACACTAAGAGGCATCGAAAAGCAACTGAGCCATGAGGCAAAGTACAAGATTACTGAGTGATAGGACACAGATGGCAGAGCCCATGTGGTGCGGTGGGCAACCTGTTTGAGCCCCAGTTATCCTCGCATGTGGTAAACACCCTACTTTCAGAGTGAATGTAGTGAGATGCCCTTGTGATGAGCAGTTAATGGAAGAAATGTTGGTACATTACTTCCAGGATTAGGCTATAGACTGGCTTCTATTTTTCTCTTTGATCAATTGTTTGAGGAGCTGCAAGCTGCTATGTTGTGAGCCACCCCATGGAGGATATAAGTGTCACATTAAGTAGCAGAAAGCTTCAGTCTAACAGACTGTAGGCTGAAACTTACCACATGTGGGTTTGGAAGTGGACATTCTGAGATGGGATAGCTACCATGAGTACATATGGAGGCAGATTCCCCTGGCACTGAACCTTCAAATTGAAACCTACCTAACAGATGGATTGCAACTTCATCAGAAAACAAAAACCAGAGGACGTTATCTAGGCTGTGCTTGTATTCCTAACCCTTGGAAACTGTCTTAAGCTGCTAATTTGGGATCATTTGTTTGGCAGCAACAGACAAGCAATACCTTATGTCAGTTAGGCAACTGCTACTTAGCTTGACCGAACTATTTTCTCTGGTAGAATGATAACTCTGGCTAATAAGAAACTTGATGAACTAGAATTTAGATTTCTAAATGATATGGCAGAGGCTACATGATAGTTGACTGTAGTCTTGTTTGATCAACATGACATTTTTAACAAAGTAATGCCATCTTCTGAGTCTCCCTTCTGGGAGGGCAAGTGGTAAAACTAAGGCTGCAAATCTCAAGTGAAGCTGCTGAGATGCTACGAAAGTCTGTCTCCTACCATCCCCTTACAATTACCCAACCCATTTTCTGGCTGATGAATAGGGTAAGGCTATGGATCAAGATCCAACAGCCTGAACGAGCTGAGGAGTTGGTGCATTCTTTAAAAATGGTAATGGGGAGGATCAATCCAAGATGGCCGTTCAGGAACAGCTCAGGATTGCAGCTCCCAGTGAAAGTGCAGAGGGTGAGTGGATGCTGCATTTTTATTGCCCACAGACTAGGAAATTCCCAGGCGGAGGAGCCCCAAGGGTCACCAGCATGGCTGTTTCGGCTAGTGCGGCTGTGTCGGTCTGCACGGCTGCTTTGCCCTGTGCCGCTGCTTTGTCAGCATCCCGGCGCAGCGGTTATCCATACAAAATACACAGGTCCGGGTGCCCTTTTGGCTGGTGATTGGAGCCACAGGAAGTCGCCCATTCTTCTGTTTAAAAAGGGGACTGAACAGGGAACCAGGACAGTAGATGCCAGGGCAAAAAAAAGCACCACGAATCTCAGTACTGCTGTTTAAGCCAGTGCAGTGAGTCACCACACGGGAAAACACACAGATTCTGGCACCTCTTCAACAGGCGACTGGAACACCAACTTAAAAAAAAAAAAAAAAAGGCTTGAGGCAGGGAGCCAGGCGATCAGGCTAGGCTGGTCCCACCCCCACAAAAGAACAGCAATCAGAAACTCTCTGGATTGAAAGTTTCACAGCAAGCGCAGCTGAACCCGGGATGGTCCAGCTCTGTGGGGGAGGGGCGTCCACCATTACCGAGGCACTCCAACACTACGGAGGTAGTCAGCCAATGCTGAGGCAGCCCGCCATTGCCAAGGCAACATGCCACTGCAGAGAGAGTCTGCAATAACAGAGGTGGGCCGCCATTGCCGAGGCAATTCTAACTACACCCATATAAACAGGACTGCAGGGAAGTTCACTTGGCAGCTGGGCAGAGCCCACAGCAGCTCAGCAAAGCCTCTACAGGCAGACAGTGACTAGGCTGCCTCCTTGCTGGGCAGGGCAGCTCTGAAGGAAAAAAACAAAAGGCAGTAGCACAACGGAAACTCATAAATAAAGCCCTAAATCCCTGGGACAGACCACCTGGGAACAAAAAGCAGTTTATGAGTTCTGCTGCAGCAGACCTAAACGTACCTGCCCAGCAGCTCTGAATGAACAATGGAGCTCACAGCTCAGCATTTGAGCTCCTATAAAGAACAGACTGTCTCCTCAAGCAGCTCCCTGACCCCTGTATATCCAAAGAGCCACCTCATAAAGGATCAGGCTGACACATGGCGGGTATCCTTCTGGGACAAAGAGAGCAGAAGAAGAAAACTGGTAGCAACACTTACTGTTCTGCAGCTGCTGCAAGTGATCCCCAGGCAAGCAGGGCCTGGAGTGGACCACAGCAGACCTACAGCACAGGGGCCAGACTGTTAGAAGGAAAACTAAGAAACAGAAACAATCAAATCATCAACAAACAGAACGTCCACTCAGAGACCCAATCTGAAAGCCAGCAACTACAAAGACAACAGGTGGATAAATCCATAAAGATGGGAAGAAACCAGCACAAAAAGGATGAAAACACCCGAAACCAGAACACTTCTGCTCCTACATGGGATCACAACTCCTCACCAGCAAGAGAACAAGGTTGGATGGAGAACAAGTGTGACGAAATGACAGAATCAGGCTTCAGAAGGTGGGTAGTAAGAAACTTCTGTGAACTAAAAGAACATGTTCTAACCCAATGCAAAGAAACTAAGAATCTTGAAAGAAGATTAGACGAAATGCTAACGAGAATGGACAAAATAGAAAGGAATATAAATGAATTGATGGAGCTGAAAAACACAACATGGAACTTTGCGAAGCACGCACAAGTATCAACAGCCGAATTGACCAAGCAGAAGAAAGGATATCAGGGGTTGAAGATCAACTCAATGAAATAAAACGGGAAGGAAAGAATAGAGAAAAAAGGGTAAAAAGGAATGAACAAAGTCTCCAAGAAATGTGGGACTATGTGAAAAGACCTAATCTACATTTGTTAGGCGTACCTGAATGCGACTAAGAGAATGAATCCTAGCTGGAAAATACTCTTCAGGATATTATCCAGGTAAACTTCCCCAACCTAGCAAGGTAGGCAAATATTCGAGTCCAGGAAATACAGAGAACACCACAAAGATATTCGTCAAGAAGAGCAACCCCAAGGCACATAATCGTCAGATTCACCAGGGCTGAAATGAAGGAGAAAATACTAAGGGCAGCCAGAGAGAAAGGTCAGGTTACCCACAAAGGGAAGCCCATCAGACTCACAGCAGATCTCTCAGCAGAAACCCTACAAGCCAGAAGAGAGTGGGGGCCAATATTCACATTCCTTAAAGAAAAGAACTTTCAACCCAGAATCTCCTATCCAGCCAAACTAAGCTTCATAAGTGAAGGAAAAATAAAATCCTTTGTGAACATGCAAGTACTCAGAGATTTCGTCACCACCAGGCCAGCTTTACAAGAGCTCCTGAAAGAGGCTCTACACATATAAAGGAACAACCAGTACCAGCCACTCCAAAAACATGCCAAATGGTAAAGAGAATCAACACAACGAAGAATCTGCATCAACTAATGGGCAAAACAGCCAGCTAGCACCAAAATGGCAGTATCAAATTCACACATAGCCATATTAACCCTAAATGTAAAGGGACTAAATGCCCCAAACGAAAGACACAGACTGGTAAATTGGATAAAAAGCCAAAACCCATCAGTGTGCTGTATCCAGGAAACCCATCTCACATGCAAGGATACACAAAGGCTCAAAATAAAGAGATGGAGGAAGATTTACCAAGCAAATGGAGAGCAAAAAAGAGCAGGAGTTGCAATTCTCATCTCTGATAAATTGGACTTTAAAGCAACAAAGATCAAAAGAGACAAAGAAGGACATTACATAATGGTAAAAGGATCAATGCAACAAGAAGAGCTAAGGATCCTAAATATATATGCACCCAATACAGGAGCACCCAGATACATAAGGCAAGTTCTTAATGACTTACAAAGAGACTTAGACTCTCACACAATTATACTGAGAGACTTTAACACCCCATTGTCAATATTAGACAGATCAACCAGACAGAAAATTAACAAGGATATCCAGGACTTGAACTCAGACCTGGACCAAGCAAACCTGATAGACATTTACAGAATTCTCCACCCCAAATCCACAGAATATACATTCTTCTCAGCACCACATCACACCTACTCTAAAATTGACCACATAATTGGGAGAAAATCACTCCTCCGCAAATGCAAAAGAATGGAAATCAAAACAAACAGTCTCTCAGACCACAGTGCAATCAAGTTCAAACTCAGAATTCAAAAACTAACCCAGAACTGCACAGCTTCATGGAAACTGAACAACTTGCTGTTGAATGTTGACTGGATAAACAATGAAATGAAGGCAGAAGTAAAGATGTTCTTTGAAACCAATGAGAATGAAGACACAACATACCAAAATCTATAGGACACATTTAAAGCAGTCTCTAGAGCAAAATATATAGCAATTAAGTGCCCACATGAGAAGCAAGGAGAGATCAAAAATTGACACCCTATCATCAAAATTGAAAGAGCTAGAGGAGCAAGATCAAAAAAACTCAAAACCTAGCAGAAGGCAAGAAATAGCTAAGATCAGAGCAGAACCGAAGAAGATAGAGACACAAAAATCCCTTCAAAAATCAATAAATCCAGGAGGTGGTTTTTTGAAAAGATCAACAAAATAGACAGACCACTAGCCAGATTAATAAAAAAGAAACGAGAGAATAACCAAATTGATGCAATAAAAAATGATAAAGGGGATATCGCCACAGATTCCACAGAAATTCAAACCATCATCAGAGATTATTACAAACAACTCTATGCACATAAACTAGTAAACCTGGAAGAAATGGATAAATTCCTGGACACTTGTCTCCTCCCAAGACTAAACCAGGAAGAAGCCAAAACCCTGAAGAGACCCATAACAAGGTCTGAAGTTGAGGCAGCAATTAAGAGCTTACCACCCAAAAAAAGCCCAGGTCCAGACAGGTTCACAGCCAAATTCTACCAGAAATACAAAGAGGAGCTGGTACCATTCCTTCTGAAACTATTCCAAACAATACAAAAAAAGGGAATTCTTCCCAAATCATTTTATGAGACCAACATCATCCTTATTCCAAAACCCGCAGGGACTCAACAAGAAAAGAAAACTTCAGGCCAATGTCCATGATGAACATAGACTCAAAAATCTTCAATAAAATACTGGCAAACCGATTGCAACAACACATCAAAAAGCTTATCCACCATGATCAAGTAGGCTTCATCCCGGGGATGCAAGGCTGGTTCAATATATGCAAGTCTATAATGTAATACACCACATAAACAGAACCAAAGACAAAAACCACATGATTATCTCAATACAGAGAAGGCCTTTGACAAAATTCAACAGCCCTTTATGCTAAAAACCCTCAATAAGCTAAGTATTGATGGAATGTATCTCAAAATAATAAAAGCTATTTACGACAAACCAACAGCCAATATCATACTGAATGGGCAAAAACTAGAAGCATGCTCCTTGAAATCTGGCAATAGACAAGGATGCCCTCTCTCACTACTCCTATTCAATATAGTACTAGAAGTTCTAGCCAGAGCAATCAGGCAAGAAAAAGAAATAAAGCGTATTCAAATAGGAAAGGAGGAAGTCAAATTGTCTCTATTTGCAGACGACATGATTGTATATCTAGAGGACCCCATCGTCTCAGCCTCAAATCTCCTGAAACTGATAAGCAACTTCAGCAGTCTCATGATACAAAATCAATGTGCAAAAATCACAAGCATTCCTATACACCAATAACAGACTTAAAGAGAGCCAAATCAAGAATGAACTGCCATTCACAATTGCTACAAAGAGAATAAAATGCCTAGGAATACACCTAACAAGGAACCTAAAGGACCTCTTCAAGGAGAACCACAAGCCACTGCTCAACAAAATAAGAGAGGACACAGACAGATGGAAAAACATTCCATGTTCATGGTTAGGAAGAATCAATATTGTGAAATGGCCATACTGCCCAAAGTAATTTACAGATTCAACGCTATCCCCATCAAGCTACCAATGACCTTCTTCACAGAACTGGAAAAAACCACCTTAAACTTCACATGGAACCAAAAGAGAGCCCGCATGGCCAAGTCTATTCTAAGCAAAAAGAACAAAGCAGAAGGCATCCCACTACCAAACTTCTAACTATAGTACAAGGCTACAGTAATCAAAACAGCATGGTACTGGTACCAAAACAGAGATATAGACCAATGGAACAGAACAGGAGTCTCAGAGGCAACACAACATATCTACAATCATCTAATTTTTGACAAAGCAGACAAAAACAAGCAATGTGGAGAGGGTTCCCTGTTTAATAAAGGGTGTTGGGAAAACTGGCTAGCCATGTGCAGCAAGCAGAAACTGGACCCCTTCCTGACACCTTACACTAAAATTAACTCCAGATGGCTTAGAGACTTAAACATAAGACCTAACACCATAAAAGCCCTAGAAGAAAATCTAGGCAAAACAATTCAGGACATAGGGGTAGGCAAAGACTTCATGACCAAAACACCAAAAGCATTGACAACAAAAGCCAAAATAGACAAATGGGACCTAATCAAACTCCACAGCTTCTGCACGGCAAAAGAAACAGTATTAGAGTGAATCAGCAACCAACAGAATGGGAAAAAATTTTTGCACCTTACCCATCTGACAAAGGGCTGATATCCAGAATTTACAAGGAACTAAAACAGATTTACAAGAAAAAAAACAAACAAGCCCATTCAAAAGTGGGCAAAGGATATGAACAGATACTTTACAAAAGAAGACATACATGAGGCCAACAAACATATGAAAAAATGCTCATCATCACTGGTCATCAGAGAAATGCAAATCAAAACTACATTCAGATACCATCTCATGCCAGTTAGAATGGCGATTATTAAAAAATCTGGAGACAACATATGCTGGAGAGGATGTGGAGAAATAGGAATGCTTTTACACTGTTGGTGGGAGTGTAAATTAGTTCAACCATTGTGGAAGACAGTGTGGCGATTCCTCAAGGACCTAGAAATAGAAATTCCATTTGACCCAGCAATCCCATTACTGGATATATATCCAAAGGATTATAAATCGTTCTACTATAAGGACACGTGCACACGAATGTTCATTGCAGCACTGTTTACAAGAGCAAAGACCTGGAACCAACCCAAATGCCCATCGATGATAGACTGGACAGGGAAAATGTTACACATATACACCATGGAATATTATGCAGCCATCAAAAACGATGAGTTTGTGTCCTTTGTAGGGACATGGATGAACCTGGAAACCATCATTCTCAGCAAACTGACAGAAGAGCAGAAGATCAAACACCGCATGTTCTCGCTCATAGGCAGGTGTTGAACAATGAGAACACATGGACACAGGGAGGGGAGCACTACACATTGGGGTCAGTTGGGGGGACACAGGGGAGGGACGGTGGGGGGTGGGGAGTTGGGGAGAGATAGCAAGGGGAGAGATGCCTGATGTAGGTGATGGGGAGGAAGGCAGCAAATCACACTGCCACGTGTGTACCTGTGCAACAATCTTGCATGTTCTTCACATGTACCCCAAAACGTAAAATGCAATAAAATAAATAAATGGAAAAAAATGATAATGGAGTAGATATAATTGGAAAGCCTTCCAGGGTCAGACCAGAATGGCAGCAGAGACAGGCATGCTGAGGGCTTAGAGCATCTGCACCCTGAGATGGCTGCCCTTGGGTGCCACACTAGACATCACCCTCCTGAGACTAACTCTTCTCACTGAATACAGGGGCTTAGCTACTGATAGCCTCAGGGCCAGCACAGTCCAACAGAAATATTGTGAGCCACCTGTGTAACTCGAACTTTTAGTAGCTACATTAAGAAACAAAGCAAGCGAATCTTAAAATGAAATCTAGTTGTACTTGTAGTCAATCAAAACTAAGTTGTAGCTGGATCCTAACAGAATTTTCCTGCCACATACAATTCCTTGCCTATTAACAAGCGTGAATGTATTAAATGTCAAATGATTCATGTTTCCCTAAAACGTTCTGGCTCTCTGAGGATGTATTTTAAAAGGAACCATTAACTTTAAGCATACCGGTAGTGACCTAAAGGCTTTTTGTGCCTGCAAAGCTCTAAAATGCAGTGCTTTTACTTTTCTCTGGTACCTCCTTGAGTAGCTTAATAATCCTTCTGAATTCTCTTTTCTGGCAAGTCAAACATTGCTTGGTTTGGATCCATTGCTAGAGAGCTAGTGTGATATTTTGAGAGTGTTATAGAAACTTTAATCATATTACCAGAAGTACTTTTCTGGTTTATTCTCATTTGGGTAGACTGTTGAAGTGGAGAAACTTGGAACTCAAAGGCTGATGTTCAGATTCTTTTGTCCCACAGAGTGATCCCTTGATGTAGCACTCTCCCCCTTCTGAGGATAGGGCTTCTGAGAGCTAGACTGAAGTGATTTTTACTGCCCTTCTGGGTGTAGCAACCAAGCAAGGCTTATGGACTCTGGGCTGGTGTTGGGGAAAGTTTACAGAGTCCTGTGATACCTGTTTTCAGATCTCCCAGCTGTGGATACCAGCACTTGCTCCAGTGGAGGTGGCAGGGGAGTGAAGTATGAACTCGGGAAGTTCTTGGTTACGGTTTTGTTTAGTAAGCTGGTTTTCTTAATGCTGGTTCTGCAAGCAGTGAAGTTGTCACGTGGACAGACGTGGGACCTCGGGTTAGCCAGGGTGCTGAAGCCGTGGAATTATGATTTTCTCTTCCTTTTGGAGCAGGGTGAATCAGTATGAGTTTCTGTAATGGGTTGTTGGGTAGCCCCTAGCGAGGAGGTAGCACTTTGAAAAGGGCCAGCTGCAGTGGTATAAGGGGGATATAATGTTGCGCTGCACTGGCCAGGATGAGACTTGGGTTTCTCAGGTGTTGGGAGGGGCCATAGAGCTCCTAAGAGTTTGTCTTTGGCTATCAGGGCAGATAGAAAAAAGACATCAGGTGGGGTCACAGCTAGGTGAGCTTGAGCTTGGACTTGGAGTGGGGCATACTGCAGTCACTATGGGAGGTGATGGGGGGTGGTTCTCAGGCCAATGGATTTGCTTCCAGGGGAATTATGGCCATTTGTGCTGTGTCATACAGGATTCCAGGGAAGTGGGAGGAAAGCTGGCAGCAACAGGCCTCACCCAGCCCCCATGTTGCCAGCACAGCCAGTCTTGCTCCTCTTGCTGTGCCCCACCAACAGCATTGAGTTTATATCCAGGGAGAGGGTGTGCAGGGCTGAGAACTTGCCCCAGGCTACAAGCCTCCCCCCTGACAAAGCAAGGTAAGCCTCTTGAGCACTTCATGAACCATTGACTGTGGCTTCTACTTGTATCTGCACTGCCTGTTCACCTCTCTGGATTCTGCTCAGGAAAATTAGTGCTCAATTACTACAAACTTTGGATAGAACTTCCTTCACCCTGTGGCCCCTCTCTAATTTCACTGGCTGCCTTTCCCCAGGACCGAGAGGACCAGGAATGGCTTCCCTGGGTTTGAGCTGGGGACTGGTAGTGCCTACAGGACTATTACAGCTGCCTCTCCTGTTTTAGTATTTCACTCCACTCCCTAGGCCAGTTTTTGCTCTAGGAAAGGTTAAATCCTTCTACTGTGATATGAATTTTTGGGTTCCCCAGCAGGGATGTGTGTTCTCCTCACACTTGGGAAACTCAGTTTTTTTGGCTGCCTTGTAGAGTGTGCAGCAGCAAGCTGCTTCTTTCAAAGGGTCTGAATTATTTTCCTGGTGTGTTCCTGCCGTGGCTCGTGGGGTAAAAACTCAGGATATGAGTCTCCTCACTGTTCTGCCTGTCCCAATGGGCATTGGACATTAATGCTTTCTCCTATCTGCGATTTTTCTCTAAAATCCTAGAGTATGGTTCTTAGATTGGCTGAAAGTGAGCCATTGATTCTTACACCATCTGGAGGAAACTAGTGTCATGCATGATCCAGAGGGGGATGTCAGAGTAAAATCAGCTGTGGAAGTAGACAGCCTCAGAAGAGGGATCCCAGCCAGAACTGGGGCAGCTGTCATGGATGTGCAACCTTTCAGTCCCCAGAGTAGGAAGGACCCTAGGATGGCAGGCTCAACTGTCCACCTCCCTCTGAGGAACACTCAAGCTGGGCAACCTTAGGGGATGAAGGTTGAGATGGTCCCTATGAAGTACCCATCATCCATGGGCAGTGTCTGCTGAAAGTATTCAGGATGGCATCTGATTCTTTGATCTTGAATGTAGAATGCTGAACTGCTTTTTTAAAATGGAGGTATATTTCACTGATTAATTGCCAGATGACTTGAGACCTTATTTTCTACTTCATATTGAGGACTTTGAAGACATGATTCAGAGTTGAAAGCTCAGTTGAAAAGCACGGTAGACTGCCCCACACCTTAGGTATCTCCCTCTTCATGTCAGCTGTTTTATAAGGCTTGTATACTTGTATGCTTGTGTGACAGAAGTTGTGATTTACTCCTGACTGTCATTGCTAAAGACTTGGAAGGAGAAAAGCTAATCTGCTTGTAGGACATTCTTGTTCCCTTTCCTTGGAAAAGGCAGCTAGACCTTAAAGTAACAGGCCAGGATGGCATGGTCCCAGTGGAGTGTAAGCAGAAGTATAGAAGCACTTAAAGTACATTCCTCATAAGTATTCACTGTTCACGGCTCAAAGAATCTTAGGACCTTCTGAGCCCTGTGTCCTGCCTGGGCCCATCTGTGAGTTGGAGATCAGTCTCCACTGGATGAAGGGCACGGCTAGATTTAGAATCTTGGCTTTTCTTCAGAGTATATGCTCTAGGTTTCTGGATGTACCTTGGAGCCAAGACTTTGATAGCTTGGGATTCCAGTCCAATCCATACCATAGACTAACGGTCTCTGAGGCAATTCTGTGTACTGCATACAGACTGAAGAGCTGTGTCCCATTTACCTCTTCACCTGCCCCCACCCATTAACAAATGATCCTCTCCTGACACTTCTGTAGACCACTGCCACCGATGCCTCTGGGCTTGATCAGTCTTCCTCAAATCTGCTACGATGGGCCACCAGAGCTGCTGGCTAAATTGGGAATTTCTAGATATGGTTCATGTTTTACACCCTACCTTGCTTTAGGGTTGAGGTTTCTTGCTATCCTTTAGGTTTAAGCTCAGCTGTGAATGTCTCACTTTCAGTCTTTATTTCATCTTCCTTCATGGCTGGTCACCCCATGTGCTGTCCCTACTTCATGACAATTCATGACCATACCTTCATATGTTACCTTCATCCCACTAGACTTGGTATCACAAAGATAATGTCTCCAAGATGCTCAGAATCTTCATGTGTAGTTCCAAGGTCGAGATAGTAACTTGTATGTGCTGAGCTTAAGAGAGGGGAAGGGGAAGGTGAGCACTAGGTGACATTCTCGCTGGTCCTGCCAAAGATTTTAGACATGACCTGACCTGTAATAGGGAAGCTATGAAGGAGTTACAGGTGATTTGCAGGTGTTTGTGATCAGACTTAATTTTATAAACTTGCCATTCTATAGAAAGCAAAGATGTTAGGAATCGTGGGCAGGGAAGCCATTTTGAGTGCCCAAGTCTTAGTGAGAAATGGAATAGGGTGGCAGGATTGGAAACACAAAAACAAGTTGGAAGGACACAAGAGGTCTAATCAACAGGATTTGGTGGATCCTGAAATTCTTACCAGTAATACAGGTAAACATAAAGACAGCATAATGGAGGGGATCTGGTCTTCAGGTCCAAAGATGGCCATACTCAGAAGTACCCAATGATGGAGACCTGTATAGGGGACATGAGTAGCCATGGTAGGACTTGGCCAAATGAGTCATAAAGGTAACTCGGCTCTCACTGGCTAATGCTTCAAGGTTCCATTGGCTTCAATTTTAACATTAGGCCCTCTTTTGTGCTGGACTAGGTCTCTAGCACTGAAGGGTTTTATTTCACCATTGCAGCACTATGACTGGGATATAACTACCCAAACTTGAGTTGCAGAGTAAAACTGTTAACCGAAACCATAAAATACATATTTTTCCAAATGCAAGGCATTCTAAAATGGTGGTTTAACATAATGTAATACAACATAGGCATGTAGCTTGAAGTATAGCTTATAAAACCATATCAATGTATTGGACTACAACCGGATGGAATTCTGAAAGGAAATCATAAAGGTGAGAATTAAAATGTGATACTGCTGATATTTAAGTCTTGTATTACAGATTGTAACCCTGGCCCTACCTACCATATTAGGATGTATATGTTGGCAGGTAAGCTTCTACCAACCTCAAGTGTCTTAAAAGTTGAGCTCATGTCTACTTGTGTTCTGGCTAATTGTGGGGCAAGAGTTCAGTATTTGCAAGAGGGATCTTGGCCATCACCAGTAGTCTGTACCACCTAGTATTTAACAGGAGCCCTTCTGATGTGATGCCAAATTCAACTACACCTGTAATATGCCAGCTTACCTGATCAGATTTCCTCTGCCTCACCCACTATGGGGTGAGCCCACCATGCCTAACCCTTCTAAAGCTGACCAGCTGGCTTAGACCTCAGTCTGGCTCTGGAGTAGTGGTCAGATGTCAGCTACTGGCAGGTTCAGGTGGAGTTCTGTGGAGGAAACTCATGGGAGCACATCACCAAGAACATGTAGGCCTATGAAGCACTTACCACACTGTGAAGGTTCTGGCTCCCCAGGCTGGAATATTCAGTACCTCACCAGAATCCAGGTAAAGTAGCAGCTTGTTATCCAGCTGCTTGGCCTGGGCAAGATTAACAAAGCCATTTGTATTGTCTTGGATCTTTGGGCTAGAGATGTAAATACAGGGCTTGGGCACAAGGTTACTTGAGCAGCCCTGGTGAAGGGTTGAAAAGTAGCAGGAAGTAACTAGCTCTTGTTTCAATGACATGGGTTGGCCTGGGTCCCTGGGATGGACTCAGTAGTTGCACACCTGATCCTCAGGCAATATTACATGGACACACAACTTCCCACTTGAGGTATCAGTTGCATGATGTGTCTGAGATCAGTCAAGACAAAGCAGAGGTACAATAGCACTAAATTATCACGTTCTTACCTGGTGTCTTCTGGGCAAGTATTTCAAAACTGATCTGAGTGGGGAACTGTCACTTGTCAGTAGGTAGGAGTGCCAATTGTGGTTTCTTTGCCTTAAAAAGTTACAAAGCCATGACAGTAAGACTGGGCACTAGGAAAAGTGAAGCTCTAATCCCTTAAGCCCTGGCTTTTTATATTAGCTTCATAAACTATGGGTGTACATTGATTAACTAACCCAGTAACCACATGTAACCACATTGCCTTCACCAAAGTAGCTGTGGAACAAATACATTGCTAAATCTAGCCCCTGGAGAGGGTGAATGTAAGAGATAAGATACAAAGCTGGGTGTGGTGGGTGACGCTTGTAATCCCGGCACTTTGGGAGGCTAAGGCTTGAGGGATCACCTGAGGTCAGGAATTCCAGACCAGCTTTGCCAATATGGTGAAACCCCGTCTCTACTAAAAACTACAAAAAAATTAGCTGGGCATGGTGGTGGGTGCCTGCAATCCAAGCTACTCAGGAGGTTGAGGCTGGAGAATTGCTTGAACCAAGGAGGAGGTTGCAGTGAGCCAAGAATATGCCACTGCACTCCAGCCTGGGAGACAGCAAAACTGTCTCCAAGAAAAACCCCACAAATGTAAGTTTGCTAGTGAGCTTCTGGGAAAGCTAGTTCTCTGACTAAAAACAGCATAGCAGATACTGCTCTACACTGCATTTGTAGCTGAAGTATCCATGATATCTGGAGCTTAGCCATCTTAGACCTCAGGTACAAGCATGCTGACAAATATCTTAAAGATCATAGGGTATAAAAAGGACCTGGTGACATCACTGTACAGTACAAATACCAGTAACTGCCTAGCTTCAGACTTGATACATATGGAAAACAATTCTTGGTGTTCAAGCCAACAGTTACTGTGCGAGACAAAATACATAGCTAAAATGCTGGATAACTCTAAATTTCAAACCCTGATTCATTCTTTTTCGAAGTTTTTGTAGTCCAGAAAAGGAAGGAGGCCAAGCTTCCTGCTTGTGCCATAACAGTTTTTCAGACTGGTCATTGAGACATGAGGCAAAAGCAATAGTCCTAAATATCCTTAGTCTAAAATGGACAAAGATGTACTCCCTTTATTTCTTTACCTAAAGTGACTGCACTTAACCAAAAAAATAATTCAGGTTTGTTGAATTTAAGAATTTTCAGGTAAAACCAGTTGACTCACTCGTCCCATGTGTTTAGTTTTTGTTCTTCTGAAAGCAGACTCTGAGACAAGGACGTGGGTGTAACTAATCATGGGGGTGACGCCAGAGCACACTGAGGGAGTTACAGGAGTAAGACAAGGCAAGTAAAACCTTGGTGAGGTGAGTCCAGTGGGCAACTGGGCCCAATCATGCCAAGGACAATCAGACAATCCTGAGAAATGGTTGAGGTGGACTGGTAGCAGGGGAAGCTACCCATCCTCCTACTAGCTGGCTGATGGTCCTTTCCAAGGACTAACTGCAACTTCTCTTGACCTGCCCTGCATGCAGGCATGCCTGGTCCTATGGCAGGAGAGCTCAGGCAGACAGATGGCTATCAGCATGTATCTGTAGGTGAACTCTGGGTGGCTTGAGCAAATACACAAAAGGAACGGAGTGTTTGGTGTAACTTGCATCTAGATGCACTTGTGCCTCATATTGAGTTCTCTTATTCTCAGCTTGAATAGTCACCATCTTGAAGAACCACCCTTTAGAAAGAAACTGCAGTAAAAGTGGCTAGCTAT